GAGAGGCACTTAAGAAAGTGTTCAATATCCCTAGCCACCAGGGAAATGCAAATCAAACCAACTCTGAGACACCATCTTACTCCTGTCAGAGTGGCTAAAATCAAAAACACCAATGACAATTTATGCTGGAGGGGATGTGGAGAAAGGGTAACACTCCTTCACTGCTGGTAAGAGTGCCAACTCATACACTCACTTTGGAAATTAGTATGGAGATTCCTCAGAAAAATGGGAATCAGCCTACCACAAGCCCCCACAATTCCACTCTTAGGCATATATCCAAAAGATGCACATTCATACAAGGATGTCTGTTCCGCTATGTTCATAGCAGCATTGTTTTTAATACCCAGAACCTGGAAGCAACCTAGATACCCCTCAACTGAAGAGTGGATAGAGAAAATGTGATACATTTACACAGTGGAGTACTACTCAGCAGATAAAAAACAATGGAATCTTGAAATTTTCAGGCAAGTGGATGGCACTAGAAGAAACCATCCTGACTGAGTAACCCAGTCACAAAAAGACAAACATGGTATGTACTCACTCATATATGGATTTTAGACATAGATCAGGGAAGTGCTAGCCTACAATCCCACAGCCAGAGAGTCTGGGAAACAGAACATTTAACCAACAACTGATGGAAGCAGAGGCAGACACCCACAGCTAAACACTGAGCTGAACTCAAGGAACCCAGTGACAGAGAGGGAAGACGAATGAGCATAGGGGTCAAGACTGGGCTTGTTTAACCCACAGAAACAGCTGACCTGAACAAAGGGGAGCTTTTGAACCCCAGACTGATGGCTGGGAATCCAGCATGGGACTGATCCAGACCCCCTGAATGTGGGTGTCAGTGAGGAGACCTAGGCAATCTATGGGGCCTTGGGTAGTAGATCAATATTTATCCCTGGCATATAAATGAACTTTGGGTACACATCCCACAATGAGAGCTGCTCTCTCAGCCTGGGCTCTTGGGGGAGGGCCTAGGCCCTACCCTGGATGAAATGACAGACTATGGATAACCCCCATGGAGGGCCTCACCCTCCCTGGAGAAAGGAGTGGGGATTGGGGGAGGGGGGATGGAGAGGTTGGTGGGAGGGTGTGGGAGGAGGGGAGGGAGAGGGACCTGGGATTGACACGTGAAGCCACATTATTTCTAATTTAAGCTTAAAACTAAAAAAGAAATAAAAAAGAGTGCTTGTGAGGATACTCCAAGAAAATGTGTGCCACGTGTGGCTTGTCCTTGTGATTGGATACATTTTGAACTTATGAGAACTTTACTCAGGTGACCCTTCTTAACACTTAGAATATAAATCATCTGAGACTCTGACTAAAGAGACTTTAGTTCCATTTATTATCTCATTTATCAATTCCATTCTTCCAGGTTCCCCTGCCTCTAGAGCAGTGACAATTATTTTTTTATTTATAAATGTAACAGATTAAAATATAATTATATTTCCTTATTTTCTCTTTCTCCTCCCAATGCCTCCCATGTTCCGTCTCTCACTCTCATAACCTATTTTTAATGTTACTGTTTTACACACGTGTGCGCAGACACACACACACACACACACACACACACTCACTGCTGAACCCATTTAGTGTTCCTTTATGTATGACTTCTAAGCTGATCATTTTGTGTTGGATAAGCAATGAAATGGCTCATCCCTGGGGAAGACTAAGTCTTTGCTCTCATTTCTTAGTTGCCTATAGTTTTTTGCCTAGGGGGTCAGGCCCCTTGAGACTTCCTCTTACGTGCTAACATGTCTATTAGTGTTGCCTTGTTTAGGTCTTTCTGAGGCAACAAATTTCCTGGTCCTCTGGCTCTTAACAATCTTTCTAGCCCCTCTGCCTGAGATGTGCCCTGCCCTAAGGTACAGGACCTTTGTTGTAGATGTTTCCATTGGGTTGAATACTCCACCATCACTTGTTACTTGCATTTTATGGTTTTCTGTAATGGTATCTTTGAAGAAGGGTGACAACTACACTTATGTATGGATAATAAGGTAAATATTTAAAATGCTGGTAGGGATTTTGGTGATTTAGTAAAGTGAAACAGTAGATTCTCTTCTAAGATACATGACTACACTGCCCTTAATAGTCCTAGGCTTCCAGTACAAGGCATGATTCCCCTTTTGTTAAGTGGACCTTAAGTTAAATTAAAGTTATTGGTTATTATTAAGACACGCGTGTCACTATTGCACCCTTTGGGATATCTTGTTGAGCTGTCCATTATTGTGGTGCCTGGGCATCACAGATGGTTACTTCCCTCACTTGTCAATCTGTATAGCACCTTCTGATAATATGAAAGCTGGTTCATGGGAAGGAGTCTTTCAGGTCAGATCCAGCTCAAATTGTCTGAATCTTATGTCCAAAGTACATGATTCCTGCAGAAGGAGGAAGTAACCTTTAACCTCTGAGCAATGGCAATGGTCTATATTGTGGGGGGGGGTCTCTTGGACTCCCTGATACTGAGAATTTTGTTAGGTGGTCCATGATTCTTGGGAGGAATATAGTCAGCCAATATGTTCTATTAAGACTTATGGATCTTGGATTGCAAGATTATAGTTACTAGGTCCCAGCACCACTTCACTCAAGACTAGAGTAATTTCTCTTCACCACAATGGCTCCCTCTGTATATGATTTTAAAGATATAAATATATGTACATATATGTTTATATAAACATTATATAGTATATAGTACACAATTTATAACACACATGCATATACTTTTGAGTACATGTATAATATATTTGTCTATATATAGGAACAAAGGGAAATTTATCTAACATTTGCTTTTGGGAATTATTGATAGTGATTGATAGTATGAAATACTATACATGCAAGGGAAAATAGCTACATATGTGTCACTTATGCATAAAATATTTAAGAAATATTTACCAACAGTAATGGAAAATATCTAAGGTCATTGGTATGTCTTATGAATTTTACATTTTATATATGCTTTGATTTGATTTTCTTCCAATAAAATGCACAAATAATAAAGTGATGGGAAAGTCAGTGGTGCAGACTTTTGGGATCCAGGCTTGGTGATACACTCCTGTAGTTCTAGCACTTAGAAGGCTGATGCAAGATCACTTATTCCAGGACAGCCTGCAGTACAAGGCATCATGTTTCAAAACAATAGCAAAAACAATACAAAATGAACAAAAGAAAACAAAATATATTAAGGTTTTAGTATACATTTAATTCTCTTCTTAATATATGCACATAATTGTATATAAGTATGTATATTATAAACAGATATACATATAGATGTAGTAGTAAAGAGAAAGATACCATTTTGCATAACATTAATTTTTCACATAAAATACATAAAGGTTTCACATATGCCATATTTACTAGTTAATTTTCTGATTACTATATCTAAATAGCTGAGAAGAATGAATTTAAAGAGGAAAGACATTTTGGTTCACAATTCAGAGAATATTCTGTCACAAAGGGGAAGGAATGGTAATGGGCGAGGCAGTAGAAGGCTGCTCCTTTAGGTAAGCCCTCACCGGAACTCCTGTAAGCAATGTCAACCAAGTTGAACTTTGGTGGTATCATACCTTTGGCCTGCTGTTGCTTTTCTACCAGGTATAAATAGATATTTGTTCATATTTCTGTTGTATACAACATTTGGCAAAATGGATTTCCTGATGCGGAAGAATCAAAGATTATATCAATCTGAATAAAATATGCGCTGATTGAACACATTAGTAATAATCTTAAAGTATCCAAAATTCACTGCTGTCTCATTAAGGAAAAGAAACTAAAAGCATATCCTCTTGGAATTATTTTACCAGGAGCAAGTGTGGGGCCCAGGACAACTTAGCTACACTGCTGCCATGACAGGCTTAATAGAAAGCAGTCAGAGTGTAGGCCTAAGTTTCAGTTTATTGCAAGGCAACACCCAGTGTTTCAAGAAAAACCACAAACTGACAGCACCCAGGAATGGACCAATTAACATTCAAGGGGAAAGTGCTTAATGTTCCAAAGGAAATATGAAATGTTACAACCATTATAGGTATCACCATATATCCCTGAGCCCAGCATGTACCTATCCCTTTCACCAAGACATCCCTAGACAAATATCAGCTAATCAGGGGTCCTGAAGCCTGGAAAGCCCCCCACTCTTAGTAGTCAGGCATCTAAACTGACAACCCCTAGTGGTATTCTGGCAGGATGCATCCTCAGCTGCAGCCACTAAGAGAACTACCTGTGTAGTTCAAAAGCAGTCTGCCCACCTCCGATCTTTCTCTCTCTCTCTCTCTCTCTCTCTCTCTCTCTCTCTCTCTCTCTCTCTCTCTCTCTCTCTCTCTCTCTGTCTCTCTCTCTCCTTCTCTGCTTCTCTCTCTTCTCTTCTGCCTCTGTCTTCTCTGCCACTCCTGTCCCTAGAGACTGGTCTCCCCTCTCCTCCCTCCCCTTTTCCATTCACTTTCGCCCAATAAAAAACCCCTTCCATCCAAGCTCTATTGCATGGTGTCTTTTTCTCAAGTACCGATATTTGAATTACAACATTGCACTCAATCCAACCTATGCTATGATAAAAACTCTACCCCAACGGGCTCAGGGCTCTCTGCTCTCACCACTGTTTAGGACAGATGGAGGGCCCAAACTCAAACTTGAATAAGAGCTGTTTAGGACAGATGGAGGGCCCAAACTCAAACTTGAATAAGGGCTGTTTAGGACAGATGGAGGGCCCAAACTCAAACTTGAATAAGGGCTGTTTAGGACAGATGGAGGGCCCAAACTCAAACTTGAATAAGGGCTGTTTGGCTTTGCACATGGATTAGGGTCTCCAAGATGCAGACATAACACAAGCACAGATTTGAATTTTCTAATTCACTTTCTCTGTGTCTTATGTTCTCTCTTCCCGGTAATCTGTAGTATGAGTCTGAATCTTTGTTTACCTGAATTCTGTCTTGTGAATCTCTCTCTCTCTCTCTCTCTCTCTCTCTCTCTCTCTCTCTCTCTCTCTCTCTCTCTCTCTCTGTGTGTGTGTGTGTGTGTGTGTGTGTGTGTGTGTATTTGTGTGTGTGATGGACTACATGGCGACCATTGCTGCTTGACAAAGTTCTAGCATTTTGACATTGCAGACCACTCTTCTCCAGCACCTTTTTAATTTCATTTTTAATGATTCACAATATCAATGCCTTTCACTTTGGGAAATTTCATATGGGCTTTGGTGAGGGATAAAAATATGTTCAATAGTAGACTCTCTAAACAAAATAATTCTTTGGAAAAAAAATCCCTTCCACCATGAAGCCAGAAATTCCATTGTGCCCTCCTAATTATATCAAGAACAGGAAAGTTAGAGATTTACTAGATGCACCATACTGCCAGATCGCCACAGGATGGAGCCAGGTTGGTATTTGTCTGGATGAAAACATTCTTCCATCTTAGGTATGGCAGGTTAGGAAAATGAGGACATCAAGTTCTTGAGACTTCTTCCTGCTGACCCAGGGGGCATCGACCATCTTTGGGGACTTGAGAAAGCTGGGGTGCTGGCCATGACTTGGGATAGCTGGTTGTTTCACTGCTGTCCAGCCTATGGAACTGTCTGGCGATTCTTGAACCTGGCAAGATATTGACAGAGCAGAGTACAAAGTTAAGTTTAGGGGAAAAATTGAGTTTTCTCTTCTTAGGTCCTGGTTATTGGCAAGGACCAAGGGAGAGTGTCAGGACCAAGGAAAAGTAGAGGTGTAGATGTCAATTGACAGTGCCTATCTGGAGTGCATCTGACGTGTTCCACGTGAATCCAAGACCTCCCTGGAACTTACAAGAATTCTTTGAGTTTATAAAAAGATAAGTTTTAAAGACATTAGCATTTTTACTATTTATAATTTGTATTGAAATTTACATTGTAGAAATAGCAGTATAATCTTGACAGAAATGATTTTGACTGAAAGAATTAACACCCTTTCTTCCATCTGGAAAACCATGACAGATGTTTTTAGCACAATGAAAAAAAGTACCTTTTAAGTCTATAGTTAGAAAACAACCAAAGGGAATTTTAGCTCTTGAGCTTGTGGCTGTTATGATAGTGGTAGTACCTTGTCAGAGTTAGATTAATATCTTATCTGAATTTTATTGATTAATGTTAACACTATGAACAGTAGCAGAATGAGAGAGAAAATCTGACAACTTGAATTTGCACACCTTAAAACAACTTCTTAGACCTTAAAACATTCATAGGTCCTCACATGCTAAGCTTTCCTATCTTAAAACACCTTCTATTTAAACAAAGGAATGGTAAAAATTATGCTGAAATCTGTTTTGTGAGTTTATCCCTTTTCTGGGTCTGTTACTGAGAAGACAGCTGTCGCTCTTAAGTTGACAAACCTACCAGTCATCAAACTGCATCAGAGTTCTTGAGAAGGAAAAAATTCTACTTGAATTAATGATTTAAAATGACAGAGACTTCCTTGCTGGCTGCCTGGACAGTCACTCCCCATGGTCCTCCATGGTCACTGAGGGCAGAAGTTTCAGGACAGCATTTATCTTCTGCTGTTAGGTCTAGGCCTGTTGGGCTTCAGAAAATGCTGAGGATTGGTAGCTTGTAGGAAGACCAGCATACCTTTGCCTAGGAAACTTGAGGCAATAGATTCCCCAGTGTCTTCTTGTCCATGGTCTGGAGTGGTCTTTGAAGCAGTTGAGGTGAAAGGTAGGTTTTCTCAGTGGCTAGCACTGACACTTACAAAGCAAGTTTCAGGTGAAGGTTCTTCTGTGCCCATTTATCTTCTTTGGAGGAAATAGGGGTGCTGCCAGGAGCTGGTATGTCTCTCTATTATGAAAAACCTTTCAATAAAACATTTTAAATACTGTATTCTGCAGATCTCTGAGCATTTGAGGACTGTTTTTCTATTGGATATATCTGAAAACATATAGGGGACTAGGAAAGGTTTATCCCTGTAATTAATTGCATCACTTCCCAGCATGAGCATAATTAAAGAGCTTAATCATTTATAAAAATGACTGCTGTATTCCTCAACAGTCTATAATAGGTTAGCAGCTTCCATAAGACTAGGACTTTACATCAGTGTCAGGTTTTACGAACAGTTGAATTTGAAATTGGCATATATATATATATATATATAGAGAGAGAGAGAGAGAGAGAGAGAGAGTTAGATCTAATTTTAACAGCAAAAGTAATTACATACACATACACACAGTTAAATTTGAAAGTTACATACACACACACACACAGAGTTAGAGCTAGCTAACATATAGAGTTAAATCCAAATAACATAAGTGTATACATACATACATACATATATATCTTAAACAGGGGTTGAGTAAACTAAAAGAAAGGGAAAACGGGTGGGTGTTGAGCAAGATGAAGGTCGGCATCACCAGTGAACGAGAAAGCAGAGTTACTGTAAGTGGGGGTGGGGGCGGGTCTCTGCATGAAGTGGTTGCCTTTGGTGGGCCCAGCCAACGTATGCGTCACTAAGCAAACATGACACTCAAGAGCCAATGTAAGAAGAAGATAGAGACAAAGAAGTAAAAGGCAAAAAGAAGGCATGAACTCTGCCTGGTGGGCACCTCTAAAGGATGAACATGTCCCAGGCTTTGGAGGCAGAGGCTGAGCTAAGCACCCCGCATGTCATAGGGTGGAACCACACCCTGAGATTTCATGGGCCTCATTATCTCATGGAACGAGGGAAGTCAGGGACAGTGCAGCACCTCTGAGCTGCAGCGGACCCTAGACATGTGGAGGGGGAGGTGCAGAGTCAGAGCACTAACTACATGCCTCTTCCAGACTCACCATCTGCCTGAGGCTAACACAGGGAGAAAGAACAGAATGGGGGCTTGGAGTGAAGATAAAAATAGGGTGTCTCCTTCCATTCACCCGTCTGCTGACAGAAAGTAGAAAGTTCCCATAATACTTTGCAGCCAATTTTGTTGTTATCTACGGGGGTATTTGGGTCATTTTTTAGTACAGAGGCAAGTGAATAAAAGACATCCCAGAGGAGTGGATCAATGATACTGGCTCAAGCTTCTTAGTTACTCATCAGAAAGAAAAAAATATGGGGGGCCAAGGGCACTAGGCCGAAGGATGTGGAGTCCAAGACAGAAGGCATACAGGTCAAAGGACTATAGCGGGAAACACCCACAGGTCTGAGCAATGATGGTGCCACTTGATGAGGGCAGCGCGGAGGGCACTAGGTCTAAAAGCCTCCCTCGTGGGAAACTGCCAGAGGTGATTGTCAGTGAAAGGGACCAGTCATAGCCTTAAAAATGATGACTGGGGAAGGGGAGCTATCATAGCCTGTGTTGTACCAGGGGCCCAGTAGACAAGTAGTTGGAAAGGGGGTTGTAATTCAGGGTCCCCGAAAGCCTCAGGCCGCCCACCTACATGCAGGAGAAGCCAGGTCGAGTCATGAGGCACCAAGGTTATCTATGATATGTGGCGTGAGAGGGACCTTGGCAGATCTCATGGTGGGTGAGGGACAAACCACCAGACAGAGTTTAGGTAGGAAGCTCATCGGGGGAAGGGAAGGGAGTAAAGGAACAAAAAGACCAATGCCAGAGGGATCACCACTACACATCTCTAAAAATATTACAGACCCACAGCAATAAAACCAATGTGATAATGTCACAATAACAGATATGCATACCATTAGAACAACCAAACATGATCACATGTTACTTCAGCCATTTAATACTTGACAAAGGTGACAAAAAGCCATGCTAGAGAAAAGAAAGTATCTTCAACAACTGACACTACGAAAAGTGGATGTCTACGTGTAGAATAATGAAATTAGACCCAAAACCTCACTTTGCACAAAAGCTAACTCCAAATAGATCATAAATGTGAACACTAAAACTGCTAGAGGAAAACATAGGCAGTGCCCTGTGTGATAGAGGTGCAGGAAAGAATTTCCTGAATAGAAATCCATTGACCCAAGACTTAAGGCCAACAATTTGTAAGTGGGACTTGATGAAATTAAAAAGCTTCTGCACACTTAAAGAAATAATAAATAAAATGAAGAGGAGGCCCTCAGAATGGGAGTCTTTGATAGCTATACCTGTCAGAGGAATAAAACTTAGAATATATAAAGAACTAAAAAGGATATTAGAAAATAAAGACCCATTCAAAACAGTGTCCTTACATCTTAAAAAAAATCTCAAAAGCTGTGTATCATCACTAGGAATTAGGAAAATGCAAATTAAAACAACTTTGTAATTTCATCTTATCCCAGGAAGAATGGTAAAGATTAAAAAGAAAAACAACAACCAATATCAAATGCTGGAGAGGACATGGGGAAAGGGGCGCCTTCATTCACTGTCAATATGAATGCAAAGCAAAAGATACAAGGCAAACGAGCTATCTGAAAGAATATTCCTGTAATGGTGCCATGAGTGTGGAACGAAATATGTAGAACGGCTTCTGTAAAATGTGTCCACAGAACAAAATCTCGAAAGCAATTAACGGGCTTATTTAGCCAACAGAAAGATACAGTACAATTCACCCCAGCAGGCCATCATTGCTTGTACACTTCTGAAAAGTGGTCAAAACTTTAAAAAACCTACTTCATATAATAGGGTTTTTAGACACATTTAAGAAACTAAATTCAGTTGCACTTGGCCTCAACTTGTCCATTGAGAATGGATTAACTAAATGGAATGGACACGAAGGACTCTTGCTGAGTTTTGACTGTATTTTATAAATAGGAAACTACTGCATAACATTGCTAGCTCCTAAACTGCAATATTCACATTCCTGTAAGCTATGAACACTTAAAAACAAACCACTTAGTCCCTAGAGAGATGACTCTGATTAATGGCACTGACTGCTTTCAGTGGATTCATGTTTGTTTCCCAAAACCTCTGTCAGTACTCCAATGTGAAGGAATTCAAAACCCTCTTCTCACCTCCAGGGGCACCAGGCACACATGTGATATACATATATCCATGCAAACAAACACTCACACACATGAAATAATTTTTAAGAACTATAACCATCTAAGGATTCAAATCAATTTCAAATAATCTAAATTTTAGATATATTTTCTCTTTTTATTTTTATTAAAATAAATTATGTCTTAGAAACATGCTTCATATGTCAATCCCAGCTCCTTCTCCCACCCTTCCTCCCTTGTCCCTCCCCCAGCCCCCCACCCAATCCCCACATCATTCCCCAGGGAGGGTGAGGCCCTCCTTTGTGGGATCTCCATAGTCTGTTATTTCGTCCAGGGCAGGGCCTAGGCCCTTCCCCATGTGTTCAGGCTGAGAGAGCATCCCTCCATGGGGAATGGACTCCTAGAGTTCATCCATACGCCATGGTAAACACTGATCTATTACCCAAGGCCCCAGAGATTTCTGAGGCCTCCTCACTGATGCTACATTCATGGAGTCTGGATCAGTCCCCTGTTGGCCTCTCAGCCATCAATATGGGGTTCAAGAGCTCCCCCTTGTCCAGTCAGCTGTCTTTGTGGGTTTCACCAGCACGGTCTTGACCCCTTTGCTCATCACTCCTCCCTCTCTGTCACTGGGTTCCAGGAGTTCAGTTCAATGTTTAACTGTGGGTAATTTTAGATATATTTTATAGCCTATAATTTTTTATTTGCCA